GCAGCACCCTCAGCTGACTTCTTTACTGCATCGTGAGCATCATAGCAACTTTACCACTCAACTCCACGGCTTATAGTGCCTTGGATTGTCTATTAAGCAAACGTGTTTTCAATTGCTCTTCACTACGTTGCCTAATTCTTATACAAGTTTCCTTTATTCTAAATCTTGAATAAAATCTGAGTCACCATCGATCGCTTAAGGTGATCTAAGGACTGATAGTTGCTTTCTTCCCACATTTAGCAGGCCACTCGTCTAATGGAGCGAAAAATTTAGCTGGCCTGAGGTGACTAAATTTTTACTCAGGAAATACTGGTATTATCGAAAGCTACCTCTATCTTAATTAGTGTGAATTATCGTGTCAGGACTTGGAAAGGAAGTGCAACTCCTCAAGAGGAATATACTGTTGTATAAGTTTGTTAGTAGGCGAGTGTCAAAATATGTACAGTTAATACGAGAGGGATTGCCAAAGCTGGGAGTCGGTCGGAAACTGACTATGTACCTTGGGAAATAGAGATTGATTGAAGGCTAATATGCATTTTTTTAATGGCTTTTTATGTGTCTGACAAATCAGAGCCGAGAGCAATACACAACTTGGAACCAAATCATTTACGATTATCTGTTGTTCAGGCTTATGTTAAATCGTTCAGATTTACTAACGAACTTTAGCTGCTTATTTATACATTTAGGCCAAAATTGCGAATGTGCAGTGGCCAGTAAAATTTAAGAAGGTAATGTATTATCCTGAGTTATTTAGCGTATCACCATTTTTATATTCTTCATTTTGTCCATACACCTCTCTTAACAACTCCAGATGGAGAGCAGTACTGTATTCCACTCTAATCAAAAGGAGCAGATAATGGGAACTCCTCTTTTCTGCGATACTTATGATTCCCAGGCAAAAGCATTCTGCAAACGCCTCCGTGTTGTATGTGAGCATTACAAGGAACCTAAATTGCCTCTAGATACAGTATGTGGCTTTCCCTTCGTCCGCAACGTATTTCAAGAAACTGGACAGTTTTGTCCTGTTCCCAGACACAAGTGTACCCGCCATTTTGGATGGGAGCGACTTCGTAGGGCGACCATCGATGTTGAACGCTACCGACAGGTAGGTATGAGTAAAGCGGCACAATTACAATTTAGTACCAATATTTTTATTTTTCTCCTAGCACTCATTTGGCAACTTTTTTAATGTAGCATTCAGACTTATCCTTTCCCTTTTAAATTAATAACACGACTATACTTAGTTTAGGTGAAGATATAGGCAACATTATAGCTAGTATTGTTAGATGGAATAAAATTCCGAAATTGTAATTCAAACGGCAAGCAAATACTGATATGAACTTTCAATCCTAGAATGATACACCAAAAAACTTTCAGAAATTTATAAATTACGGCGTTATATCAGCTTTCACAAGTAATAATGATTGCCGAAAGTCATCTGTGTGCCAAATATTATTTTTGACCTTCGCCCCTATATACACCTCTGGTATTCTTGAAGAGCAGACGATATTACTGGCCATTCCGATTCACAAAAGGATGATGCATTTAGCTAATGCATCTCATTATTTTCAGTTAGATGGCTAATTTGTATCAATCCCGCTGGACATAATCCATTCTTTTTTTACTGGCCTTTGATAATGTATCCTAAGACCTAATTAAAGCAACTGGTCAGATATACCCTATTTTATAGCCTTTTTAGATATAGAAAATTTAATACACTTTTGACCGACCTCAGATAATTTAGTTTCACAATAGCTTAAGCAGAATGAGGAAACCGAGAATCAACAAGATTAACAAAATAGGGACGACTAGAGATGTCTCTCCTGAAACACTTAATGCTGGGAAAATGAGGTCGAGTTACTCTCATAATTTTAGAGGATATTACGTCCAAACTAGAGGCCACATTATCTTGTTCATCCTTCTTGCACTTAAATGTACTTTAATTGTTTATATCTTCCTTTATTTATATTGCTCACTCTTACTTCAAAAAGTTTTTAGTGTGCTTATGTTTTCTTTTGCTTAGGAACAAGTCTTATTCCAGCTTTTCGACTACTCGATTAGAACTGTTTAAGCTATACCTAACTATCTGTTACTCTTCTTTTAATTTAATTAATTCTGTTTTCATACTCTAGTTTATTCGAATGGATGAACTACTGCAGGAGGAACAACGTCTGCACAAATCTATCAACCAGCGTTGCGGCACACTTGCTCTTATTTTGCATCAAACTTTCGACCACGCTCCTGATAAACCGGTCTTACTTCCTGAGAATCTTTTTTCAACTCCTTCATCGTGTTACTCTATGCCTCACCCAACTTAGAATCCATTAATCTTTTATCGATAATTCCAAGAAGGACACTTGAAATATATACCTTTCTAACCTGCGTACATTCCTTTTCGCATCTTTATTACTTTATTAGCTTCATCTCTGTTTGTAAATAATCGTGTATTGTTTTTGGATGGGCAATATGCATTAATATTGCTTTATTGCTATGTTAACTTCAAATTGAAGTCATTTTACTTAGTTAAAAAAATAACATTGAAGACTTTTGGCTGTTGATTTCATTTGTGCATACTTGCGCGTTTGATTCTTTCGCGTTGATATTTGCAATAATTGACGCAGTTCATAGTAATACTATAGCCAGCAGCTTTACATTCCGAGATCTATCGTGAGTATAATTCGATGATACTGGTCGGCTAGATTTATTTCCTTATTTGCAATAAGGTTATGTACTAATATTTATAAATGATGCTTATTTTCCTACAATAAATTTGATCATGTTTTTTACAAATTAGTCGGGTATAAAGTAGCGAAATGTCTGGCAATTTACCAAGTAAAAGGCCCGGTGATGGAAATTATCATGAAAACTCTTGTAAATAATGCAGTACTCAGTTCTATTAACAAAGTCTCCATTTTCCTCAGGGTCTCGAAAATGACTTTTATCAATACTACACAGGTAACTGAGATCGCAAGTGAAGATAAAACCACTCAGTCATGGTCTTATATTTCTTCTACTCTCGGAGCCGCAGTTTATTTTTTATTATTCAGCTTCTTATATCACGAATTTGTGTTAATGTTACTTTCATTTGATGGAAAAATTAAGGATTATATTCATCTGTCACTAACCAGAAGGCGTAATCTCATTCGCATTGCGAAGTTTAGGTATGCTCTATACACGGGACTCTGAATCAGGTGGATTTAGCCATTAGCTGCTAGGAGAGACGTACTTTGGATTTTATACTTGCAAAAGACTTAAGCTGAAGGGTGACTTAGATCCTTTCTCTCGGTAATATATGCTTAAAACTGAGTACTGGAAAAACTATGTAGACTGAGCTATATATATATATATATA